CCCTCCTCCCACACAGACACATAATTCTTTATATCTATTGCTCTGATTTTTACAACTTTTCTAATAACTTAATTAGAAGATAAAAATCCATCTGAAACATCTGGAAGATGCTAACAGCTTGCACAATAAAGCAGCATCATAAATAAAACAGAACACCTCAAATCATAGATTTAAAAAAGCAAATTAAGTGTCATTTGATTGCAACATTTAAACATTTTTTTTGTTTTGTTCACCCTTTTAAAAGCTTTAACTTCAAACTTTAAATCCAATTAAAATAAGATCAGAAACAAAGTGGTCCAAAACGAATGAATCTTCTCTATCTAGTGACCAGATTTGAAGGACTGACAAGAAATCTGTGTTGACAGAAACTTACATTTTAGTTTAAACTATAAGATGAACTGCATTTCTAACTTCCGATAAAACCTAGCTGTATTTCACCTTTTAAATAAACAGGATCAACAAGTGGGGGATTTTTTTTAATCTTTTTAATTAGGTGTTTAACTGTCCTTCCCCTTTAAACAAAACCTTTAAGTGAATTCATTCGTATTTCTTTGCACTGCTCTGAAGATGACTTTAACAAAATGGTTCCTAGAAATTCAAAGCTGATCCTATTAAAAACCTCTGTCAGAACGAGACGCACTTCAGGTCAGACATGGGCAATGTGGAGTCAACAAGTCATCTCCATGTCATGTATTGGTTCTACCCAGCCAATTAACCAGGTGAGTCCAATCTGCACAGGTTAATTCACGGTGAAGATTGGACTCACCTGCTTCAGTGGCTGGGTTGAACCAATACATGACATGGAGATGACTTGTTGACTCCACATTGCCCATGTCTGCTTCAGGTACATTAGAGACTTAGTTTGAGTTGCATTATCTTCATTATTGTCCTCCTGTTAAAAACCTTAAGCAACCAACTTGAAAACATAATCAAATGAAGTCTGACAGCAAACAAAATCGAATATATTTTCCAAGTGATTTATCACATTTAAATGAACAGAACCTTCGGTTTAATAGCATAATTTCGTTTTTGTACATTAATCTATATGAATCCAGGTAACTAAAGCTCCAACCTCCAGGCTTTTGCCGCCTCCGTCGCAGGCAGTCTTGTTCAGCGCTCTGTTTCTTAGCAGCCCTGTCCCTGTGATGTGTACAGCATGTGATGTTACATTGTCTTGTTTAAAAATACATGGCCTTCCATGCGAGAGTTGCTAAGATGAGAGTGGTGTACCTTGCTGAAATAAAAAATAAAAAATGATGTGCTTTGTTTTACATTAACGCTGCCATCACAGCACTTCTTCTTAAAAAGATCATAAATAACAGTTTAGTAACACCTGAGATAAAGACCACCCAGTTTTTGAAAGCTAATGAAACACATTGTGTGGTTGTTCATCAATATTGAGTCACAATCCGCTTTATTTATTTATTTTTTTGCACAAAGAAAGAAGAATCAATTATTAATATATAAGGAAACAAGATGAAATATAAAGAAACAATTTATACATTTATGTATAGCCATTATTTCTTCCTAATTCCTCTTAAGGTCGGTTGTAATGTTGCAAAAGTAGCTGACTAGTCTGGCTCTAAAGTGTCCGTGTCTTCATCAGAGACATGTGCAGCTCCCTCTCCTTAGAGGGTGGGAGCGGCAGGTGTGTCCTCCAGCTGGAGCTCATCAAAGCCAGTTGGGATGATCTTTTAGAGGAGACGATTCCCTGCGGCAGATTCCAAGTTGTTGTGCTCATATGAACGATAATCAGGCTTTTCCCTCAGTCTTTTTTGAGAACTCTGCTCAGGTCTCCCTCTGTGGATAAACTCAGCTCCTCCTGATTTGCCACCTGCTCTTATTCAATTTTTCATTATATCCATAAATCATCTTGCACCCCTGGCATTAACCTGGAGATATGATGTCATTGGGAAGGACACATTTACCAATAAAGCATTCAGCTTATCTACTAGTGGAGGCCTGCATAGGGTTCGTTTGTTTGATCCTTCCATCGATCCATCCATCCTTCCATCCATCGATCCATCCTTCTTTCCCTCCATCCATCGATCCATCGATCCATCCATCCATCCATCCATCCTTCTTTCCCTCCATCCATCGATCCATCCATCCATCCATCCATCCATCCATCCATCCATCCATCCATCCATCCATCCATCCATCCATCCATCCATCCATCTTTCTTTCCCTCCATCCATCGATCGATCCATCGATCGATCCATCGATCGATCCATCGATCGATCCATCCATCCATCCATCCATCCATCCATCCATCCATCGATCCATCCATCCATCCATCCATCCATCCATCCATCCATCCATCCATCCATCCATCCATCCTTCCATCCATCCATCCATCCATCCATCCATCCATCCTTCCTTTCATCCATCCATCCATCCATCCATTGATCCATCCTTCTTTCCTTCCATCCATCCATCCATCCATCCATCCATCCATCCATCCATCTTTCTTTCCCTCCATCCATCGATCCATCGATCCATCGATCCATCCATCCATCCATCCATCCATCCATCCATCCATCCTTCCTTCCATCCATTGATCCATCCATCCATCCATCTATCCATCCATCCATTGATCCATCCTTCTTTCCTTCCATCCATCCATCCATCCATTCATCTTTCTTTCCATCCATCCATCGATCCATCCATCCATCCATCCATCCATCCATCCATCCATCCATCCATCCATCCTTCCTTCCATCCATTGATCCATCCATCCATCCATCCATCCATCCATCCATCCATCCATTGATCCATCCTTCTTTCCTTCCATCCATCCATCCATCCATCCATCCATCTTTCTTTCCCTCGATCCATCGATCCATCCATCCATCCATCCATCCATCCATCCATCCATCCATCCATCCATCCATCCATCCAACCATCCTTCCATCCATTGATCCAGCCATCCATCCATCCATCCATCCATCCTTCTTTCCTTCCATCCATCAATCCATCCTTCCATCCAGTTTAACTGATTGGTGCTTTTTCAGTTGTGATTCTATGTGCTGTCAAACATTTGTCACATAAGTATTTCATAAACCCGTATGTTAAAGACAGCATATTAGTTTTTTTTTTTCACATTTTGTCACAGTTATGTTTGAACTGGATTTTAATTCAGGAAAAAAAAATAAAAATTTTAAATAATTAATGATGATGAAGCAGAATGACAAAGATATGACGTTTATAATATTTTTTTCATTAAAGAAAAAATCGCAATTGCTATGTATATATATTCATTTCCTATTTTTGTGTTGTTAAAAACTGTGCACTAGTCTGCCTTCAGTTGTCCCATAATGTCAATATAAACAGAAACACACTAAGAAATGGCTGTCCAACATTTGCAGACAGGTTGAACAAGAATTATTCAGAGAAGGAGCCCAGAGACTCATGAAATCTCTGGGGAGCTGCAGTTATTCACCGTTCCAGTGGAAGAAAAAGAATACCTAATATATATAACATGATGATGGCGGCATCATGCTGTGGATATACTTTTCTTCTGGCTGCCCATCCATCTTAGGATTTATTTTAAAATTCTTTTATTTACTTTTAAAGCCTTGAATTGCCTTGCCCCAATTTACCTCTCTGAGCTGCTGCACCCCTACACTCCCAGCCGATCTCTCAGGTCAGGTGATCAGCTGCTCCTGACAGTGCCTAAAGTAAGGCTTAAGCTCAGAGGGGATCGAGCTTTTTCTGTTGCAGTGCCAAAACTTAGGAATGGATTGCCACTGCACATTAGACAGGCCACCTCTCTGTCTCATTTTAAAACTCTTCTTAAAACCCACCTCTTTTCTTTGGCTTTTGACACCATGTAGAGTGTTGATTTTATGTGTACACATGTTGATTTTATGTATACAAATGCATATTTTTTATCCTGTGCGGGCAGTGCTTTTATTTTATTTTATTTACTTTATTTATTTTAGTTATTATATCTTTTTGTGCAGCACTTTGGAAACCTTGTGTTTATTGAAATTGTGCTATATAAATAAAGTGGATTGGATTGGATTCTTCAATTTTCATGGTAAGATGGGTAGACCTAAAGACAGGAATAAAAATTAAAACAGGATTTAAAAAGATTAAGACTAAAGACCGATCATAACCGATCATACTAATTAACGACTAAACCCATGCAACTAGATGTTGCCATATATGTGCATCCAAAACACACCACACAAATCACAGTTGGTATTACGACTGAAACCATGGAAACGGTCATTGATAAGAAGGGGGGCTGAATTGAAATAGTTTATCTGTCCTTTCCTAAACATAACCTTTAAAAAGAGGTCAGCCGCAAATGTTTGAGGCATAGAGGTACTTTTTTCCATCTATTCTGGTCATGTGATTTATTAAGGTCCTTCTGGAGGGACGTTTATTTGGTGATTGAAAAGGTTTTAGGGGTACGCTTCCTTTTGTCTCCTGTGTTTTATCTTCTAAATGTTTCCCCTAATCATATGGGTGCACATTTTAAATCCTTGTTTACAATTCTTCAATTTCTTGCCAAGAATTGTATTTTTGTTACAATGGACCTCTCCTTCTGCTCCCACAGTAAATATGTGGCTCACGCAGATATCTGTTATCCTTCCTTTGGAAAAGCTGACCCACGATCTTAATCACAGATCGGACACATTTTCGGCACTTTCGGGTCGCCTCGAGTCTTTTCTGCTTGGTCACTAGGATTCTAGTTTTTAAAATGTTTATTTATTTTTTTTTTATTTCCTTTTATAGCACTATTTATGTTTGCTTGCTTCTGTTCTCCTCTTCTGATGACAAAGGGGTGAGGTGGACGTGAGAGGATCGACTCTTTGTTCCTTGTCCATGTGGAGTATATTGTTTTTTTTTTATATATTTATTTTATTTTATTTATTTATTTATTTTGTCCCTCTTTTAATGTATGTACGTGTAAAGCGGCACAGGTTTGTTCTTTGTATTGTAACTTATCTAAAATTGATAAAATAATAATAAAAATAAAATAAAAAAAAGAGGTCAGCTCCAACTTTACGTAGCTTGCTCTTCAGAGGTTGAGCGGCTAAATCCTCTGTCCTGCATGTATCCCTCAGAATGCTGCGCAGTTCTGGATAAGAGCATTAAATTATAAGTCTTTCTATCAGACGTACACTATATTGCCAAAAGTATTTGCTCACCTGCCTTGACTCACATATGAGCTTAAGTGACATCCCGTTCCTAATCCATAGGGTTCAATATGACGTCGGTCCACCCTTTGCAGCTAGAACAGCTTCAACTCTTCTGGGAAGGCTGTCCACAAGGTTTAGGAGTGTGTTTATGGGAATTTTTGACCATTCTTCCAGAAGCGCATTTGTGAGGTCGCACACTGATGTTGGACGAGAAGGCCTGGCTCTCAGTCTCCGCTCTAATTCATCCCAAAGGTGTTCTATCGGGTTGAGGTCAGGACTCTGTGCAGGCCAGTCAAGTTCATCCACACCAGACTCTGTCATCCATGTCTTTATGGACCTTGCTTTGTGCACTGGTGCACAGTCATGTTGGAAGAGGAAGGGGCCAGCTCCAAACTGTTCCCACAAAGTTGGGAGCATGGAATTGTCCAAAATGTCTTGGTATGCTGAAGCATTCAGAGTTCCTTTCACTGGAACTAAGGGGCCAAGCCCAGCTCCTGAAAAACAACCTCACACCATAATCCCCCCTCCACCAAACTTTACACTTGGCACAATGCAGTCAGACAAGTACCGTTCTCCTGGCAACCGCCAAACCCAGACCCGTCCATCAGATTGCCAGATGGAGAAGCGCGATTCGTCACTCCAGAGAACGCGTCTCCACTGCTCTAGAGTCCAGTGGCGGCGTGCTTTACACCACCGCATCCGACGCTTTGCATTGCACTTGGTGATGTATGGCTTGGATGCAGCTGCTCGACCATGGAAACCCATTCCATGAAGCTCTCTGCGCACTGTTCTTGAGCTAATCTGAAGGCCACATGAAGTTTGGAGGTCTGTAGTGATTGACTCTGCAGAAAGTTGGCGACCTCTTCGCACTATGCGCTTCAGCATCCGCTGACCCCGCTCCGTCAGTTTACGTGGCCTACCACTTCGTGGCTGAGTTGCTGTCGTTCCCAAACACTTCCATTTTCTTATAATACAGCTGACAGTTGACTGTGGAATATTTAGGAGCGAGGAAATTTCACGACTGGATTTGTTGCACAGGTGGCATCCTATCACAGTTCCACGCTGGAATTCACTGAGCTCCTGAGAGCGACCCATTCTTTCACAAATGTTTGTAAAAACAGTCTGCATGCCTAGGTGCTTGAATTTATACACCTGTGGCCATGGAAGTGATTGGAACACCTGATTCCAATAATTTGGATGGGTGAGCAAATACTTTTGGCAATATAGTGTATTTTCTATTCATATTGATCAGGTGTCAGTTACGATATATTGATCATTTTTTATTGCCCTACCCCATGGATTAATTGACAGGTGGTTTTAAGTCAGTTGACTGATTTAGAAAAAATATGGCCCAGTCAAATTTCAGATATAGATCCAATTAGCTAATCTATACCAAGAATTTGACCTTTTTGACAAGAGATGTTCTTCAGTGAATTCATCTAAGCTAATTTCGGGGTCTCAGAGTACAGGGGGCTGAATATAAATCAATGCCACATCATTTACTTTTTGTTAGAAAAGATGAGAAGACCATGATTTTTTTTTGTTTTGCCTTCTATTTATACTCCACTTTCTTTTGTTCTGTCAAATAAAAATCTAATTTTAAATACCTTTTCAAGGCTCTGCAACTTGGAGGGACGTTCCCCTCTGTTCTCAGCATGTTACTCACTTTAAAAAAAAGTTGACGGGTTATTTTCCTGCACTGCAGCCGGGCTATGGGGCTGATGCTTCACCTTGAAAAATGATCAAATTAGTGCAAATAAAAAAGAATAAAATCCATCAGGGGATGCAAATGGCGACATTATGCTCACATGTTTACATGCATTTGGTATAGAATGCAAATGTCCTACCAGGATGATCAGCCTCTCCACATGCAGCATGTGTCCTTCAGATGACACCACTCAGAGAACGAATTTCACCTCATTAAGTCTAAAGACGTCAAAGCAGAGAAAATGTTGCGCTGCTACAGTTTCACAACATGAGATTGTCTGAATAATACATAATCTGCGTTTGTTTGGCAAGGAGCGCTGTTAAAGTCTGAGATAAGCTCCTCGTATACATCTTTAATATCACACTCACACGTCTCCATGTATTATGAAAAAATATAATCTGAGGGTTCTCACAGATGCCATGGAAACTGTGCTTAAGTTGACATCCTGGTGTGTGAGCATTTTTTCAGCCCTTCTTGTGGCCGGAATAAGATTCTGGCTTAATGGCTTTGTGCAGATGAGGGTCAAAGCCATGTGTCATGTTAGTATTAATGTTTGAACTTATGTTTAGAGTATGATGGCAGGAGATGAAAAAAATACAGAAACGATGGCGGAAGAATTGTGATATGGATGAAAATATATTGAAATAATGGATAAAAAAAGAGATATGACGAAAAAAAGATGGTGGAGACAAAAGATAAATATCAGATGTCAAACTCAATGCTGGAATCTGGCCCCTCACTTTAATGTACGTGGCCCTAAAGGGCCAAATAAGGCAGATCATGGAACTATGCACTGTAGAAATATATACACAGTTACATTTTCTTAAGTGGCGGAAATTGCTAAACAAATTGGAGAAAAGTCAAAGTCATGATATCAGACCAGTGTGGCCTTTTTAAATAAAATAAAAAGTCAAGATTAATTTTTTACAACTGCGACTGGCCTAATATAAAGATGGCTATAAAACAAAGCTAAAACACTGGAAAACCTTAAACAAGAACTGTGAAAAAAAACTTAACTAAAAGGGAAACAAATAACTATCTCTGAATAAAGTATTAAAGATCAATATGATTTCACCTGAGACAGTTTGGAAATTAGATAAGATTGACTGATATTCACATATAAAAAGTGAGGCATGCATTTATACAATGCTTCTCCAAGAAACAAGCTGACAACAGTTTTTAAAAGCTGACACAGACTCTCCTGCATCTGGCCCTGGACTTTGACTAGGCCATTCAAAGACATTATTATGCTTCGATCTCAATCGTTCAATTAACGCTCCGGCTGTAGCTTTAGGATTGCTGCCTTGCACTCCAATCTTCTGCAGCCTCCTGTTTTCTTTTCCTCTTGTTTTCCCATCAATTCTGAGAAGCTTCCCTTTCCTGTCCAAAGAAACATCCCCAAATCATGCCATCACATCAGATCCTATGTTCAGGGTGTGAGGTCTCCACCACACAACCTTTGCGTACCCTACATGTAGCCCCCTCATTGCTTGTGGGGATCACTAATGACTTTCCCTCAACAATGCCTTGTATGAGTTTCATCCCACTTCACAACTATGAACTTTCAGTTGGTTTTTCACATCAAATCTCAACAAGTTTCATAGATATAAGACAAAATGTAAAAACTAGGAATTCTTTTGCATGTCAAGTTCAACCCAGTAGCTCAGCAGGCTCCTTTCAGCCGTCAGAGTATCAGACGTGGAGGCTGGGAATGGCCAGTCTGCCTTTTAGGACAAACAGCTTTCAAAAGGACAACCTGTCAAGGGTTATTATGTCTATCTGTGATCTGGGTCAAGCCCTGGTAATGCATGAGCGATTTTATGAACAGACACAAGACCAACGTACACACAGGATGACCGCTCCAGATCAAACACAATCGAGTCTATTGTGGAGAGCTCTGCCCTGCTCTTATTAACAGCCTCCAAATTGCTCTTTGCTGATGCATGCGCGTGTTTACAGGAACTCTCTGAGCGCCTACGGCTATCACTCAAGCCTCCCAGCTGCAGCCACTGCAGCGCATTCACAAGGCCACATATTAGCTGGAAGTGGCACATGCTGCCGAAGGAGACATGAAATGCGTCCTTGCCCTTGTGCACAAACAGCAAAGCATAATAATTACCAGGGAGATGCCTCCCCCACTGGATGCAGGAGAGTCAGTGGAGTGAGGGTAAAAGATGGAGGTTACACGGGGTAATAATGCACAACGAAGGTGGAAATCTCCGTTGTTGCTCCTTCATTATTAATTCACAACCTTCTCTAGTGTTGCTATGTTTTATTCCTAACAGATTTTTTTTATTTTTTTTTCCTGAGCTGAACACAAACACACAGTCTTCACAACTTGACAAATCAAGGCTGATGTTATATGTTTAATATTCAGATCCCTGCTTGGCAAAGAATACCTCAGACTTATTCCTGCACCTCTACCGAACATGTAAGAAATGCTCCTGAGCGACTTGTCCCTGGACTGCCATGATTACGCATCTGCTGTTTATTTGAGATAATCCTTGCAGCGGCCAAATATGTTTAAATCCTTTTTGGACACAGAATGTTTTTAGTAATCTGCTGCTAAAAATGCTCCATAAGAAATGCACCAGTTTATCCTTTTTGAGTGATTTGTCATAAAGACATAAAACACAGACAGTGGCCGGCTGTCGGAGGGAAATCGCTGAATTAAATAGAGCATAAAGCTGCACAAGAGTCGGATTTATAATGATGTTCAGCAAATTGCAGAAAGGATGAATTATAAAAAAAAAACAGGAGATAAATTTTGTTGCTAAAGCAGCGATTACACTCACCGGCCACTTTATTAGGTACCCCATGCTAGTAACGGGTTGGACCCCCTTTTGCCTTCAGAACTGCCTCAATTCTTCGTGGCATAGATTCAACAAGGTGCTGGAAGCATTCCTCAGGGAGTTTGGTCCATTTTGACATGATGGCATCACACAGTTGCCGCAGATTTGTCGGCTGCACATCCATGATGCGAATCTCCCGTTCCACCACATCCCAAAGATGCTCTATTGGATTGAGATCTGGTGACTGTGGAGGCCATTTGAGTACAGTGAACTCATTGTCATGTTCAAGAAAACAGTCTGAGATGATTCCAGCTTTATGACATGGCGCATTATCCTGCTGAAAGTAGCCATCAGAAGTTGGGTACATTGTGGTCATAAAGGGATGGACATGGTCAGCAACAATACTCAGGTAGGCTGTGGCGTTGCAACGATGCTCAATTGGTACCAAGGGGCCCAAAGAGTGCCAAGAAAATATTCCCCACACCATGACACCACCACCACCAGCCTGAACCGTTGATACAAGGCAGGATGGATCCATGCTTTCATGTTGTAGACGCCAAATTCTGACCCTACCATCCAAATGTCGCAGCAGAAATCGAGACTCATCAGACCAGGCAACGTTTTTCCAATCTTCTATTGTCCAATTTCGATAAGCTTGTGCAAATTGTAGCCTCAGTTTCCTGTTCTTAGCTGAAAGGAGTGGCACCCGGTGTGGTCTTCTGCTGCTGTAGCCCATCTGCCTCAAAGTTCGACGTACTGTGCGTTCAGAGATGCTCTTCTGCCCACCTTGGTTGTAACGGGTGGTTATTTGAGTCACTGTTGCCCTTCTATCAGCTCGAACCAGTCTGGCCATTCTCCTCTGACCTCTGGCATCAACAAGGCATTTCCGCCCACAGAACTGCGGCTCACTGGATGTTTTTTCTTTTTCGGACCATTCTCAGTAAACCCTAGAGGTGGTTGTGCGTGAAAATCCCAGTAGATCAGCAGTTTCTGAAATACTCAGACCAGCCCTTCTGGCACCAACAATCATGCCACGTTCAAAGTCACTCAAATCACCTTTCTTCCCCATACTGATGCTCGGTTTGAACTGCAGGAGATTGTCTTGACCATGTCTACATGCCTAAATGCACTGAGTTGCCGCCATGTGATTGGCTGCTTAGAAATTAAGTGTTAACGAGCAGTTGGACAGGTGTACCTAATAAAGTGGCCGGTGAGTGTATATAGTTAACATTTCAGTTTCAGGTTTTATTATATGGAGGTTTGAATATGAAGGATGAACATAGTTTGTCGGGTTTTTTTTCTTTTTGTAAATAGAAATATGAGAAATATGGGGCTCATTTTTCCAGACCACCACAGAGACTAGAGCTATATCCCAGGCTGAGATGATCCACATTTTAAATCTTACTTAGAAACAGTTCAAGAATTACCCAAATGTATTTACTTTAAATCTGGACTTTGACTAGGCCATTTCAACACATATATTAACTTTAAACCATTCCACCGTAGCTCCGACTGAATATTTATTGTTTTTGTCCCCCTGGGAGTGTAACTTTAACCCTCACTTTAAGTCCTACACTGTAAAAAAGTAATTATAGAATTTCAAGTACCGGTAACGTAATGGCAGTGCTTCCTGGGTTTTACAGCCAGTAATTAAAATCTACAGCAACCTGATGTAATTTAATCACAGTTTGTTTTGTAATTTTATTTATTTTTTTGTAGTTTTACATGAATTTTGTTTCATAAAAAAACAAAATAAAGAGACCCTGTAATCGAATGACATTAAAAGAAAGCCTCCTGTTGAAATTCCAATAGTATTTTACATGCATGCTTTAACATTAGCTGCTGAAGTCAGTATGCAGCGTCATTTAATAAATGCTCAACAAATTTATGTACATTTTCAACTTTCAAATAAATAAAGAAACAATAGGTTTTAGGTTCGAAGTTAGTGAAACCAACAAATGGCAGTAAAACATTTAAAGCTGAAGTCTGTAAGTTTTTAAAAATCACTTTTTTGTCATATTGGCTAAAACTGTCCCTATGCCCAGACAGCAGTACATGTGATATGTAACCTGTGAAAAAAACTGCTTCAATTGGTCCCGCCTACTGCCTGTATTTCAATCTGGAAAGTATAATTCGGGATGAGTCAAAACAACCAATCACAGCCAGAGGAGCGTCTGATGGAGTGTCAATCACAGCTCAACACGCTGAATCCCCCCCTTCTGGTCGCACGCGGTAGCCGCGCAGATGCTGTGAGAGGGGTGGAGCTTGGAGGTGGGGCATGAGTGAAGCAGAGAGGGTGGGGGAGTGGCGTGAAACCTGTTTTTCTTCAAATTTTCAGTCGAAGTCTGCTCTATCCTCAATGTTACAGACTGCAGCTTTAAGGAACCCCCCCCCCCCCAAAAAAAGA